TTTTTTTTTTTGGGGGGGGGGGGGGGGGATATCTTAAATTTATTTTTATTTTTTGATTTGATGAAACATAATGCAATTCATATTGTAGATGATTACAAAAATCCCTCCGGGTAGTGAAGCTGTAGTTACATAAAGGAGAAGAGCCTTTGAATTTGTAGTGTGCTGAACCTTCAGTTAAAGAAATCTAGGATAATTTCGTGGCCACATTTTCCAAATATTATACTAGATAAAATACAGTAGACCCATCCTTGCTTGATATTTTAGGATCCTTATTTAATGTGAATGTCATTGAAGAGGCTGCTACTCTTTTTTTGGCATCACCAGACCATCCAGATTATTCACAAGTTGGAAGACCAATAGATCGTTCCTATCCTATTATACTTAAATGTCACCAATACAACAGATGAAGTTTTTGTTAAAGAATCAAACAAGAATTTTCAAATTTATTCCAGCAGTCAGAAACGTTCGATTTAGCGTCAAATTCTGCCACAACTCTTCGCAAATTTTCATCTCTTATTGAATTTAGTGGTTCTCACTTTTGGGAGATTCCTTCGCCCAACTCTCATAAGATACATTTAGTGTACATTTTTAGTGTGTTCCCTGATTTTCAATGAAGATTTTATCTTGGAATACCAGAAGATTGAATGACTTTTCAAAACGAACCAGATTTAAGAGACTCCCGCAACAACAAAGTCCTGATGTGGTTTTTATTCAAGAAACAAAAACAATGGATCCTCTTTCAAGAAGGTTTATCAAATCCATGTGGAGTTCTAGTGAGATTAATGGGGTTCAAATTGACTATGGATTAAGAAAAATTCTAGAATTTTACGTGCTCAAGAAATTAACTGAGACATTTATTGGGCTTCTGTCGCTCTTTTAGCTTTTACTTGGTCCTCTACAATTTTTCTTCATAATTATAGCCTAACTCATATTTACACCAATTGAGCTTCTTTATTGTAGCCCGTGTGGTGTGTGGGGATATCTCATCTTCCTCTCCTTTTGCATTTCCTTTCTTGTTGATGATACTTATGTGTTTCTTGAAAATAAAAGCTAATAAGAAAGTAGACTCAATAAATGGATGGATGTTTTGTGCTTATCTCAGAACGCTTCATTCCGTCCATAAGTTCAAAAAAAAAAAGAAAAAGCCGTAACAAAGTTTCGCCAAAGATCTATTCTCTCCTTCAATGGGTGGTCCATTAGGGAGAGGCAAAGAAGTATGATGATATCACATGTTCTTTTTTATGCACTATCCAAAGGAATTCTTTCTCCAAGTTTTTGTGTTTTCACTTATTTATTTTTTATAATAAATCAAAAAGGTAACACAACTAATTCATGTTAGTTTTATCTATGCTCTTCCAGGAAGAAGAAATAAAGTTGAAGCCCGTCATAGGTTTTGATTGTGGTAAGTTCCTTCTTCCAAGTTAATATGACATGTGATTAAACTGATTCTCCTGTTCCTTAAAGTTGCGTAAGATTAAAGTGATACAGATACTCCAGGCGAGGTCTGGCTGTTTATTCTCTCTTTTTTCAGCCTTTAATTTTCCTTCTACAAATAATGATATAAACTGAGTCATTATAATTTTTATTTGCTTGTTAAATTTAGTTTCCAACATTCATTCCTTACTTTCTTGAATGTCAATCCTGATGCTCTCCTGCCACAGGAAGCTGTATTCTAATAGATTATTGTTCGACAGAACATGTTGTAACTTCTAAATTTAATGTAGTCTTTTCTGCCTTTGTAAGAAACATTTAAAATTCTGGCAATTTGTGACACACTGGTACTTGCTTAGGAAAACAAAAAGAGAAACTCATTGCTGCTACCACTAGCCAGCTGAGATAAAGGATCACCTCAGCGTAAACTAGGGTTGTTCATGGAGGATTCCCTTTTTTTTTTTTTTTTTTTTTTTTTAA